TTTTTTTTTTTTGCCGTATGTGGGCCTCTCACTGTTGTGGCCTCTCCCATTGTGGAGCACAGGCTCCGGACGAGCAGGCTCAACGGCCATGGCTCACGGGCCCAGCCGCTCCACGGCATGTGGGATCCTCCCAGACCGGGGCACGAACCCGTATCCCCTGCATCGGCAGGCGGACTCTCAACCACTGAGCCACCAGGGAAGCCCGTTAATTTAATAACTATTTTTAAAAGTTGATAAAGCACTTGCTTTTTCTTTTTATTTGTTTTTCCTTCAGAATTTGAACCTTTCATTTCAGGATTTGGGGGACCCTTATCAAGTTGCAAATTTTAACAGGATTCTTAGAAGACTAATTCGAGTTGAAACCCTCTGGTTAGTGGATAATTCACTGGTGGATTTAAGTGCTGCAAGATTGCCAAGGTATCTGCTCCCTAGCGTGTCCAATTACTAAGTTAAAGTGAAGTCTTTGCTCTATGGGTACGTGACCATTGTCTGTTCATATTGTGGCTCCTCTCATGTGGTCAGGTCTTAGTGAGAGTGCTAAGTGATGCCTGGGCAAGGCAAAAAGGGAAATTTATAAATCAAAATGTCATACTTTAGAGGGAAAAATCTATTCTTTTTCAAATTAATACTGTTATTATCAATTTTTAAGGGAGTAATTTGTAATCATAGAACAGATTGGCAGAAAAGCCTGCTGTGTTCCTTGCATTGTCAACTGGAAATACAATTACATTATATATACATTATCATTCTAAGTTAGTGATTTTTTGTCATATTCTCTGAACACTTGTGGGGAAAGACTCTACAGGTAGTTGACAAGAGTCTTGGCTTCAGGGTCACATTCTAATGGAGGGGTAGGGGTTGCCAATCAGAACAGTGACAAAAACAAACCAAAAATTTTTAAATTTATATGGCCTCCTTGATATTCCAAGGACCCTAAGCTCCTGAAGTTAAAGATAATCTGTCTCTTTGCTCAGGATTGCTTGAGAACTCTGTGGAGAGCTGCCCTTTGCTTCACCAGGCAGATGGGTAGCTGGAGTGAGCTCTGGTAGCCATCAGAGGGGCAGACAGAGGTTCTCAGAAGAGAATTAGGAGATGAAGGAAATCAAGCAGCCACAAGAAGGAAGGGTAAATCCCAGAGCAGGTTAAGATACATCTCTGAGCTGGGCTGAGGTAGGGCAACAAAAAGAGATCATCAGGGGTGGGATAGGGAGTGTGGGAGGGAGACGCAAGAGGGAGGGGATATGGGGATATACGTATACGTATAGCTGATTCACGTTGTTATACAGCAGAAACTAACACAGCAATGTAAAGCAATTATACTCCAATAAATATGTTAAAAAAAAAAACCAAACAGATCATCATAGTTGCACAGGAGAGGGAAACAGTCAGGCAGACAGAGGAAGTGTCAGAATATGCAATGGTCCCTGGGTATCTTCGGTCATTTTCAAAGCCCCTTCCCAACTTTAGACAGACTTGGATAGCATTTGATTTTACTTATGTTCTTTGCAAATGACAAATTTAAAAATACCTAAATAAAAAATTTCAGAGGAATCTTAATATCATTGCCACCTTAACTTATTCAGTTACTTGATGTTAATTTGTTCAGTTTTTTTTTCCCCCAGGCTCTCTTCTAGGGATAAAATAGTGATGCATTAGTTATATTTTTCTAATACACATTTAAATAAACAGACAACAACGACGAATTTTAACAGTAACATAGCCTACTTTGGAAACACTGAACTAGAAGACCATTAATTTGGAGTATGTGAACTTGACTTGATCCATACCAGTAAACTTCCAAATCTTTGCTATCATATAAAAAAGAAGAGAGAGAGAGAGAAACTCCAGTGACTGAAGAAAAGACTTGACCGAGTTTTAGTATTCTCTAGATGTATTCTTTTGGCCTTTCTTTCTTTAGAAATAGGATGTATCATATAAAATTATATAATTGCAATTCAAACTTTACAACTGTCAAATCAATGTATCAAGAGAAAAGAAAATTGATGCATGTATATTCATAGCCTCCTTCCCTTTTGGCCCAGGTGAAAAACCACACTTGGTTTGCCATTCGTCTCCCCTAACATTATCCGACTGACTAAGGATCTGTGGTAGGGTGAATCAGAGAGGCTGAGAAAGTGGCAGGGTATACACTGAAAATGAGAGAATGACTAGCAGATGAGAAAACAACAGATTTCAAGAAGGACAGAGAGACAGGATCTGCTTGGGTTGGGTTTTCAATTAGAAATTGCAACAGTACTAACGTGCATCTAAAGATTATGTATAGGGACTTCCCTGGTGGCACAGTGGTTAAGAATCTGCCTGCCGATGCAGGGGACATGGGTTTGAGCCCTGGTCCAGGAAGATCCTACATATCGTGGAGCAACTAAGCCCGTGTGCCACAACTACTGAGCCTGCACTCTAGTACCCGTGAGCAACAACTACTGAGCCTGCATGCCACAACTACTGAAGCCTGCATGCCTAGAGCCCGTGCTCCGCAACAAGAGAAGCCACCGCAATGAGAAGCCCGCGCACTGCAATGAAAAGTAGCCCCCGCTCGCCGCAACTAGAGAAAGCCCGCACGCAGCAACGAAGACCCAATGCAACCAAAAATAAAAATAAATTAAAAATAAATTTATAAAAACAAATAAAGATTATGTATAACCTAGGAAGGAGTGGAAACCTAAAGTTATCAAAGATATGATTAAAAGACTGTAAAATATCCATATGGAGAGGGAATGGAAGAAAACAAGAAAAATGACAATAATGGATGTGAAAAATTACAATGAAATCTGGGTGGGTTCAAACTGAATTTGTGTTTTTCATGCTGCTTTGTGGCTGTCCTTTCTCTGTTTAGCACCATATTTACCATTAGCAATAATTATTTACTAAATGTCTTTGTGGGGTATGAGGTTCATAAATAAGTACCCTGTCTCAGGGTATTAAACCTCAGCTTATAAAGGAATTTTTCCTTGAGGTGAGGTGTCAGTGATAGATTTGGAATTATTGTCTCTACCTGCATGGTTTTATACAATTACAGTTTTAAGGCAAAAATATGAAGAAGCATTATCTGTCAGGAAAATGTATTCAACCTAAATGCCTAACGCACATCTCTTTTCCTAAGGATAGCTTTTAGTTTTCTTTGGTATAAAAAGGCCTTTTTTTTTTTCTGATTTAAAATGCTATTTCTCAATAAAGAATTTAACTACAGAAAAGTAGAAAGAAAGGAAAATAATGAGAATCTCACTACTTAGGGGCAATACTCTTCAGAAGTTATCATGTTTCTTTGGGCAAACTTTTATATTGCTGACATTACATGCAGCTCTTCACTCTTTCATTCAGGACTTATTGAGAATCTACCATGGACCAAATACAATGCCAGGTACTGAGTGTATACATTGGAAAAAAAACCAGATTCCTGCCCTACACAAGCTTACAGTCTTATATATCCTGCTTATTTTCTCTTAATATTTTAATATACATATTTCTCTTTTCTTCCCAACCACATTTGTAGAAAATATCACTGTCACACCTTTGAGAGGCTATGGTCTAGGTGAGGCATGCTAGTGTTTTTCAAGATTTAGTAGTTTACCATCCTCTTTAGGAGACAAATGACAAGATGTTTATATTTTATATCCAGCTGCAGAGTTTTAAATATGAACAAAAACCATCTCACATCTTTCAAACAATTGCCAAAGATACCTCAGATACAGCATTTATCCTTGGCTGAAAACCATATTGAGACTCTGGCTGGGCTCTCCAGTTTGCGGTGCACGCCATTGGAATCCCTTACGCTCAAGAGGAACCCTTGTGAGTTTCACCAAAACTACCGGAAACGGTGAGGCCCCAAACGCCTTGTCACCTTTTGTACTTCACTGAATATTATACTTTTAACAGTTGTTCCCCTCTTGATTAAATTTGCTCAGCAAGTATTTATCTTATTTACTATGTATTGAACTTTTCATGCTTCTAATCTCACCTAAAGAACTTTGAACTGATTTGTGTGTGTGAGTTTAATCTTTAATACACTCTTCTCTCAGTTAATTTATGACTGCTGTACAAACTTTAGGCTCCTCCTGTAATGTGACTTTACATACACTAAGATGTTTCATTTTAGACTTTCAATTCCTATGCATTTTCTTTCATAATGTTTAATAGATACTATACCTTTTTAAAAATTTCTAAATATAGGTTCCTATCAAGGTCCATATGACCATCTTATAAATTGTTTATTCTCTGGCTTTGTTTTCACCCTTTGGGCCACAAGGGCACCATTAATTAAGTGAATACAAAAAAGTAATTGATTTGATCTACTCTAGTGGTGGAAAGAGCTGGAAAACCTGCCAAGAATAAACCATTTGTATTTCTTTGTCACTACTTGGGAACATTCTTAATGATAATAATGGAATCTAAACAACCTTGGAGTGTGCACCAAGTAATATGGTAATATGGTAATATTTATCTCCAGCTAATTCCCAGCACCACTATTAGTGTACTTACAGGAATTAAAAGGGTAAAAACAAGCCACTGAGTTCTAGAACCTATACTTGCCCCCAGATGACCACAAGTCATCTCATCTCTCAGTGTGAATCTGTCCTACAGAGCCTTAGATCATCTCCAGACTCCATTTCTAGTCTATGATTATAGTCCTTCCTCCACATACAATTTCAACAAAAGACAGTTCTCATTACCATCCTTTCTCACACTGCCATTTTCCCAAGACAGCAACTGTATTCCAGAGGCCTGTATAATATTAGACTCTTCAACCCGTGATGAACAATGAAAATTGTCAAAGTAAAAATTCTAATCTCTGTTGGTACTACATAAATCTCATTACTGCCGTTGTCTTCCCTCTGATGTAGTCTGAAAGCAAAATTTCATATTCTGTGACAATAAATTCTCAAATTGCTTTTACATAAGTGAAAACTAGCAGCACAGTTGCTTTAATATTGAACTAATATTTAACCATAATAATGTTTTGAAGTTTAAAATTCTATTTCCTACAGTCAGAGGAGATTTAACTAGACTTTTCAACATTATTCATAAAAAAGCACACTTCTAGTCACAGAGATAATTTATTAGTATTACATTTCAGTTTGGTTAATTTATATGTGGGGTTTTAGAAAACACCTTGGTCCCAACTCAGTCACTTGCCTCCCTTCAAAGAATTCCTTATAACAGTAGTGTTAGATCAATGATCTGAAATCTGATATGCCCTGGGGTCTCACTATAAATCTGTCTTCAGAATTCATGATGTGGTATAGAATTATGTGAGAATGAGGGATATAATGAGGTTGTCCATTTTCCTAGTATTCACTCTATTGGATTGAGTCCAAAGTGGATATATACTGACACTCACGCTATAGAAAGCCAGGTTGTATTGACTGAGGTAGTGCAGGGTTGCTTTAAACAGAAAGATGTGGTCATTTTAAAGTATGAGGGAAGGATTTAATTATCCACTCCTGCTAAGGAGCTAAGCTGAAGTCCCAAGTTCATCCAAATTTGGGTTTAGTTTTCTAGCCAAGATTCCACAAGAGGATTAGAACAGCATTCATTATTTTGTCATTTTGTCTCTGTCGAGGATTTAGGCCAAACTTTCAATGGCCCTTTACATCACGATCAGAATTATTTAAGTATAAGCTTTTCTTGATCACTGACACCTAGAATTGTGACTGTCTTCCCCTTCCTCCTTTGTTTCAGATCCTCCAATAAGAAGACAGCACAGTTCAAAAGAGAAAGGACTTAACGATAGAGCTAATAGTATAAGTCCCAGTAGGTAGAGGGCAGTCCACTTTCTGGGACACCCACAGGCAAACTCTTGTACCATTCTTCAGAAGTCAGTGTTATCTTAGTTCACCATAGTTTGGCTTTTTAAAAAGAAAGTGACTAGGAGTTCCTGCCAGCTAAGTCTGAACATTGGAGCCAGAAGACTTAGCTTTTAATCTTTGCTCAGTCACCTACAGGCTTTATGATCTTGGATAAGTTACTTAAAATGGGGGATAAAAACTAACTTGACAGAATTGTTGTGAGGATGAGATAATGTGCAGAAAGCATTTAGAGCTAAGAAAGTCATGCAGCCAATAGGAGCATTCGAGGAGGTTGGCACCATCATTAGTTGACTCGGCACATCACCTGAGAGGTGTCAGCATCTTTCAGCCTGGGCCAATGCCAGAGCCATGCATTTCCTCTGGCCTGAGCGCCCAGAACTCCCCAACCAGGAAACCTGTCCACTTGAAAGAAAATGCTGCTTTGTAACACTGCTAGGCATACAACTACTGTTTAACTGGGTTGACGTGAAAGACTGCTTCCTGAACCTGGAAGTGACTGTCTAAATTGGAAATGTGAGCTTCAAAAATGCTCTCTGTCAAGGCAAAATCACTCAGCACAAAATTATTTCCCACCCCTTCTTATAACTCTAAGAATTCTTCCTTAACTATCACTAAACAACTTGGACTTGCTTTACTCTAAAAAAAAACAAAACAAAAACTTTGAACTTTATAATGTGTACATATATTGTGACTTCATTCTTTCTCTTATGGTTAGTTGGCTAAATACACTCATTGACTTTCTTTTTCTTTATAGGACTTTGTAAAAACTGGAATGACATTCTATTATAAAAACAGACTATGCAGTTCCACTCCTCTGCTCAATACTTAGAATCTGCTGAACTATCTAGTATCTCACTGACAGGGCAAGCTATGGGAGGGTCATCACCTCAGTGAACGTGAATAGTATTTCACTGTAACCTCATTGCAGAGACAAGGAAAACAGAATAAAGTGATAGCCACTCACCTTTCTTGTAACAATAGGCAAAGTCTACTCATTTATAAGGGAGTAAGTGAAATACAATGCTTTTGTTCAGTATAGTTACTTTTATTTTTTTCTTTAACTTTTGCTTTAGAGTGTTCTCCTGTTTGCCAAACTTAAAAATGCTGGATGGGATCCTGAAGCTACCACAAGACACTTCACCACCAGAAACCAATATTTTTTCAAAAATATGTATTGTGTCCTAATGCAATCTGTATAGAAAGAAAGCAATCACTATTGTCTTTAAAAATTAATAAACAAGAAATGCATGATTAAATATTGCAACATATATATACACATTATGTATTTATGTATATTGATGTCCTTTAAACCAATTATCTCCAGTTTTTTTAATTCTATACCCTATCAATCAATAAATTTTGAGCACACACATTTTAAATGATTTAATTTATTTTATTTTATTAGTTAATTTAGTATTTAATTAATAATTTTTATGTAGAAATTATATACATAAAATACTAAATAAATATATAATATATATTTTAAAATATAAAATTAGAGATTTTTAAATGATGGGATAAAAATTTAACATGAATAAGGGCTCTAAGATTTTCCCACACTCCAGGGACGCATCTGGTCCACTCTCAGGACTATAAGCCTGAGTGTGCTTGGAGTGTACTGCTTTAAATATCTGAACCTATCAAAAGGAAAAGGGACAATTGGAAGTACCTTGCACAATTTTAAGCCACATTCACTGAATTCTTCATTTTAAACATTCTGTCATTTATTAGTGATTTTCACACAGCAGAAATTTAAGCCTTATGTTATTCATTAAATACTTAGAAAGTAAACAATAATGATAAAGCTTCTTTTTGATCAGAGAATTTCACAAGTGTGATTTTAAAATTGACTTCCCTACATGCTAATAAGAAAGAACACAATTCAATTTAATTGCTTTCAAAATTTAGAGAAAGCTCAACACCCAGATCAACTTATGACCTTATATTTGTCCTTATTTATAAAGACCAACTTAGTTGCAGAACTAAGGTTTTCCCAAGATGGTTTATTGATTAACTAGGGATCCTAGCATGAAATAAATAAAATATTTTCTGGGTCATTTTGCCAAGAGTGAATGCTGCTTGTAAAATTATATAACAAAGATTCTAACAAGACCAAGACACAGTTACTTTCCTCAAGCATCTTATGAATGATTGAAGACAACACACACATAAGACCTTAAATTCAATGAAATGTGTTATGAATATCTATTATATGAATAAAGTGGAAGAGATTTAATTGTAAATTATGGAAAGCTATCTGAGATGGATATTGAAGCAGAGTAGACTTTTCACAGGGAAGAGGTAATAGCAGACTCTTCCAGACAGGTGACACAACATGAAAAGGGGCACAAAGACCAGAAATCGTATGCGAGTTAGGAATGGGCTGGCTGCAAAAGTCAGAGAAGCGTATTGACAATGGCTTAAAGAGTATTATTAATAAAAATAGCTATAATTTTTGAACATCTATGTATCAAGCATAGGACAGATACTACGTATCCATTATTTAAATCCTCAAAAGACTATGAGGTTCTAGTTATGCTTATTTCCTAGGCAGGAATATCTGAGGCTCAGAGAGGTTAAGTAATTTGCTCAAGGTCAGTGACACAAAAGGTATGTCACACAACTATCACATGACAAAGCCAAGGTTCAAGCCCTGAACACCTTTCAACACTCTTGCTGCCTCTTCTAGTAATTTGGTTCTAATTTTAAAATTCAAGATGGTATTTTTGTGTTTCCAGGGACAGCTTCATCTTCCATAATCCATCACAAATCCTAGCATTTAATCATCATCAAGGATTCACTATTCCTTGAACATACCTTAAACTTTCCTTGTTCAAGTTTTTGCTTCTTTCTGCAATACTTTTCCCTTGAAGGCATGCCTGAGAACATATTTTATCCTTTCAGTGCTTGCTTTGGATTGTATTTCCTCCAAAAATCTTCCCTCATCTTTTCAATCAGACCTGTTTCCTCTGCAGTTCCAAAGTACTTTTTAAAAAATATTGCTCTTATGGTATGTTTTCTCATTAATGCCTCAACTTGATTAAAAAACAATTTTTAGACGTTGCTTGCTTCCAGAAAAACAGGGGCTTTAATCAAATAAGAAAGTGGGACCCATTTCATTTTAGATGTTTACACATGTAACCTTCTGCCTCTCTAACTGAGGCTGGGAAGACGTTTTCAGTAAAGGCCCAGAGAATAAACATTGTAGGTTTTCTTGGCCATATGGTCTCTGTCCTAACCACTCAACTCTGCCATTTTTAGTGCAAAAGCAGCCATAAACCACATGTAAATGAATGGTGTGACTGTGTCCCAATAAAACTTTTGTTTACGAAAGTATGTGGCAGGCTCTAGTCTGCTGACCCCTGCTCTAAATTTTAAGGTCATGTGCTTGATTGCTTTACTCGTTATCAGTATTCACTGTCCTCCCTGGAAGAAGTGTATAGTTCCTCTACTTGAAGTCAGATATGTCAAGCAACTTGATTTGGCTAGTGAAATATAAGTGAGTCTGACATATGTCATTTATAGGCAGAAACTTTGAGAACCAGTTTGTGCTTTGTCACACTTTCTTTCCTTGGGCCACACCAGCAGGCAAATTTCCATTTAAAAGCTTCTCCATCAGTCTAGGTCCTGGGGTGAATATGATGTGGGGCAGAGCTACAGTCATCTTACATAGGACGTATAGCAAGAGAGAGTACACTGATGTCATCAACCTAGAGGATTCCATTTGATGCTGTACCATAGCCTAGCCTTTCCCAGCTAATATAGCTCCTTAAGCTTAGGGACTGCAATTTAACTTATTCAATGGTGTGTTTTCCCCTACAAATAGCAGGGTAGGCATGCAAAATGTTGAATAAATGGATAAATGTCTATTATAGGAAACCATGAATGGGGTAGTAGAATTACCAGGTAGGACACAATTATAATACTTTAGGTGAAATGTATTAAAATTTTTTAATTAGAGCAATAGTATTAGAAATAGACACAAGTTATGAGAGCATGAAAAACTGGGGAGTTATGACAGCCAACAAAGTATTTTATTGTTTAAACTAGTTTGAATTGAGTTATTACCTGCAGGCAAAAACATTCTAACTGCAGGGAAAAGCATGGGTTTCATAAGAGGTGCTGGGTGGATAGCTATGAAGAATAATGGCTAAATGCACCGCAAGCAAGGGTCTCAAGATATATATCACACTATTTCTAAGAGATAGCTTGTGTTGAGTTGCAATCTGCTTTTCTGATCTTAAGAGGTACAGATTCTATGGGAAGTGTGGCCAGAGGGGGTTGACTTAAGTTGGTGATGCTTACCTACGCCAGAGGGAACCGACTGGACCGAGGCCAATGGACCGAATAAAAGTGAAACCCAAAATCGAGTCTACCTATTCATTGTGGTGCCAGCAGCTCTAATAGCTATCAACAATGACAGGTCCAGTAGTGGTATTGCTATTATTTCAAATAAATCTGTTCACTTGACCTGTGTAAAATACTTCCTTGCATCTTCTATAATCCCCAGAGATATGAGCCACTCACTCCCACAGCCTAAACATACTAGCAGACATACTTTGTTAGGAAATATGCAGCGATTTTTTTTTTTTTTTTAAGCAGCAGTAGAGGTATGTTTGTGGGAATTTTGTGCATAGGTGCCAAAGATGGGTAACTTCTGGCCATATTCTATTTAACTCAATAGAACCATACCAAGCTCCCATTCTAAAAAATTTTACGTACATCTATCCTTCTGAAATATTCAGTTCCTCTTCAATACACGGGGCGATTGGCATAAAAAGATTTCCTAATGCCACTTAATTTCACATCTAAGTTTGTGTCCCAATTCCATTCTTACCCTGAATGGCCCATGTGTATAGGTTCATGATTATCTGAATGGCTTAGCTCAAAACAGTGGCAGGAGTTAATTGTGTAGATC